GGCTGGGCCGCGGGGCGCCCGACTCGGGGCTAGTGCCGGTGCGGTGTGGGGTCGCGCCGCAGGCTGGGGTGACCTCCGCCCCCTCCGCACGGGGCGCGCCTCAGCCCTGCCAGGGTCCTTCCAAGGGCGGTGAACAGCTCCGGCTGTGGCCGGGCCCTGCCCCGCCTGAGGGAGGTGTTAAGAGGGCGCGTCGGGGCCCGCTCCATTCGGCACCTGTTTATGGACCTGTTGTCCACGAGTGTGCCCGCTCCCTTTCTGTTCACACGGACACTATCCCCACAACCCCTTGTGGCGACAAGGTCCTGAAGTTCCCCACCTGCCATGTAACAAGTATTTGTACTTACTGAAAACTGAGCACCAACTAATTTTCATGAGTGCCGCTTTTTCCTGTGCTGTGGGTTTTGGTGAAAGTGTTCTGCATTCAGCTTGTCTGCCACCTCGTGCTTCTACAAACCGCAGTCCTGCCCCTCTGTTCCTTTCTCAAACCCAAGTCCCAGCCTTTTTAGTCTCTCCTCGCACAGCAGTGGCACCATTCCCTTTGTTGTATCAGCTGCCCTTCTCTGGACCTTCCCTAACTCCCCTAAATCCATCTTGTGATGCAGTGCCTAGACCTCCATGCAGCACTCAAGACATGAGTGCACCAGGGTTTTGTATCACAGTAGAATGACTACCTCTGCCTTGTCCTGTGCTTCTCCTGGCAATGCACAGCATTTTGTTGCTTCTCCGGCTGCCCTGGCATGCAGAGCCCATGCCTGCAGAGGACAGCCATCAACACCTTGGGATCCATCCTGCAGTGCAACTGCCAGGTTCCAGTTCAGCACTCTGCAGGCCATGTTCAGGTAATTTTCTTTAGATGCATTACCTTATATTTATCCATACAGAACCAAATAGACCTCTTCTCTGTGTGTTTGCTGGAGGCCACTTGCTACAACGTGATGTGACCTTTTTACTGGCTGCCCCATTTCCACGCACAATAATGTCCTGCTGCCCAGTGGGACTGGCTGCCATCCCATCCTAGGAGGTTGCTGAGCACAGCCATCACCTTCCAGCAAAGGAGGCAATGGATTGCTCCTTTGTTTATTGGTGGCTGCTGGAGTGAAGGCAAGTGCCCAAGATCTCACCCATGCATAAGTGTCAGCATTTCTCAGGGCTGGTAAGGGCAGAGCTGATGCAGGAAAGGCTGTGTGTCATAGGAAAAAAATAAACAGCGGGACAACTTGGAAACACAGAGGGAAGCATAGAAAACTCCACAGCCAGAGTGAATGCTTTTATCCAAGAGTTTGACCAAATGCTGCCTGGAAAACCTTTAGCATTGCAAAGAAATACTTTTGTTTAGGGAAACAGGATTACACCATGAGGTCTCAGACACAGTGTCTGAGTATGTGCCCCGAGAGGTCCAGATTTGTCACTAAGATGCAGAAATACATTTCCTCCTTCTATAAGATTGGTAGCAACAGTGAGATCGCTTCACCTTCTGTCCTTGCAGGAGCAACAGCAACAACCCTATAGATTGATACCGTGAGAAGCCTATAAACTGCAGTACTTCTGCACCTCAGCCCTGTAGGAAAACCCTCTCCTCAACATTTCGCCTGACTCCACAAAGGACAGGAGATCTGAAAACTTATCTTAAAATTTACTTAGTTTGGGGATAAGAGAGAAGCAAAACACAAGAATTATTTGTTCAACCCCCAGTTCGGATAGAGGGGGACAGGAGTTGTATGATGATGATAAGTTAGGAAATGGGGAGACCATAGGGAGCTTAGGACGAGGGCTCTGGAGGTAGTGCAGATGCTCAGCAGTGAGGCTGTTGCACACACCTTTTGGTGTGCATATGTTGCATCACTCATGTTCATGTGCTAGAATCCAGGCCTCCTTGCTGCCATGCATAGGATGAGCTTAAAAGCTTTAGCAACTCTTTGTATAATTTTAGGATCATGGGCAGTGCCATTTTGCTTAGTAGAGCTTTTAACTGCCATGAGAGGGACATGAACAACTAAGGTGAATAATCATGACTCACAAGAAGGGATGAATAAGTGTTTCTTATGCAGAGTGTTGCTGCTGGTCATCCAGCAACCTGAGCTGAAGCTTTCTTTGGAATTTGTGATGTGCTGGAATTACTTGTTCAAAGACAGAGCTGGGAAGCACTGCTCTGTTGATTTGATGATGCATTCAGTGTTTTACTAGAGCGTTTGCTGCTAACAAGTGAGGTACAAACTTCAAGGTATGGTAGAATTCTTATTCCATTTCTGTTGCTATATTAAGAATTGTCAAAAAAATGCTTTGCGTCACTTCACTCCTGCTCAAAGTACCACAGCTGGGCTTGGTCAGCATCGTCTTCTGGGTTCCTATTCTCACTGCAACGAGTAGCAGTCAACAGAAGAGAGCAACAGGAAGCTGAGGACACCAATATTAGTCTTAACCTCTGCTTTGGGTTCTCTTTTTAATTTTTTTTTTTAGTTTTGGCTCTTCTGTTTCTGGCTGCTCCTGATGTCATTGCTGCACTAAAGGGAGGGAAGGGCCTGGCCTGGCTTGCCATGGGCCAAGAGCTCTGACCTGGTTCAGTGCCCTCCCTGGGAACTTGGAGAGTGAAGTGGAAGGAGCAAGTCATGAACTGCCTCATATTTCTCCAGTGTGAGGCAGCTGGGAGCTGCAGCACAATCACTGCTGAACACCACAGCCAGATTTATTGACTGTCCCACATAAATAAATAATCACAGGAACAATGAGCGCAGCACGATGACGATGCAGCAGTGCTGCAGAAAAGAACTGGAGGTTATTGTGAATGACAAATTGAACTCAAGTCCACAATGTCATCCTGTTGCGAAAAAAACTAACATTGCTAGAGCATATAAACAGGAATGTCACATGTAGGACACATGAAGAAATTCTTCTGCCCCCCCTTTCAGCGCTGGTTAGGCCTCCTGTCTTGCACACTGTGTTTCCAGAAGCAAGTGGATCAGCTGGGTCGGATCCAGAGGAAAGCAAAAGAAAGCTCTAGAAATACAACCGATGAGAAAAATTTTGATCCTAGCCCTCTCATTTGACAGAACAGGTGTCTGTTAACAACTTGCAAGCTTCTTAATAGGGATGTGTCTTAAGAAGTTGCAAACTTATAAAAAGCTGCTGTCAAGAGGAGGGGAATATTTTGTTCTCCCTATCTGCTGTTGGCATGGTCAGGAAGCAGTGAGCTTAGCTTGAAGCAAAAGGGATGTGATTTAGGCACCCCCAAAAAAAGACAATACTTCTCCCACACACACCAACTCCACCACTTCGTAAGGAGACGAGCAGTTGTTGCTGGAGCAGACTGGTTGGGCAGATGGTGGGTTTTCCATTACTGGGGCTCAAATTCAGTTATAAGAGGGGCTGGCCTGCCTGTGCTCTGAGAGAAGGAGGTGCCTGGTGCTGCCCACCCCACTCACTGCAAGCTTATGGTGTCACCTTGCCACCATGTCATGCAAAGCCACCATGCCCCTTTCCCTCCCATCCCCATTGGCTGGTCACTGTCCCTGTGGCTTCAAGGCCATCAAGGGGGCAGCTGCCACAACAAAGCATGCAACAGCTCAAGTGTCTGAAGTCGTAACTCAAACACAGGGTATGCACTTACATAATGTTTACCTGGATGTAAGCAAAACACAAGGCTGGACAAGGTGTTTCTCTTCACTGTGCCTGTACCCAGGAGCCTCTAACGCTCATACTTTGTGGAGCATTCCTCTCAGCATCTGTAACAGGGCTTGCAAGACTTTCATTGTGGCTGTTGGGCCTGTAGCTCACCAGTGCTTCCAACACTCCACGAACCTGGAGTGCACTCTGTGTCTCTCAGCATGCTTGCAAGGGACTTAGGGCCCTGGCTGAGCATGCAAGGGCCCTCGTAGCTGCTGGACTCCTTCCCCTCCCCAGTGCTGCAATGGTCCATGGCTGGGGAGAGCAATCTGGATTGCCCAGCACAGCCGGTACCAGGTTGCAGCACTGCATTTGCAGACACTGGTATTGTGGGAGGCCCACAAGATGCCATGGTCATGAAAACATTTGGGTTTTACATTCCTCAGTTTTCTTGACAGAGGGAAATTGCAATTGTAGGAGATAGTGCTCATTAAGGCAAGTGTATAAATGCAGCAGCTTTCAGCCTGGGCCAGGGCCTGCAGAAGAGAGCTCTATCAGGAGCCTAGACAGTGTCACTGTCCCTACTGCAATGCCCTGCGTTCACGCACGGTGTGAGCCACCTTGTTCCACTTTCAAAAGAAGTGCAGAGATCAGACAGGTCCCAGATGCCAGTGCTCCCCTTTCCAAAGCCCAGCTCACATAGGTGGCAAGAGCACCCTGCAAACCGCTTGCTGTACACAGGCTACTTTTCCAGAATGAGGCATCTCTAGCTAGATTGGGCAATTTGCCTTTTAATGTCTTTCAGATTTTTATTTCTGAGATCAAATCAAAATTGATCCTAAGTACAGGCAGATAGATAAAATAGCTACTGTATATTTTTGAGTCACTCAGTTACTGGCTTTGAGTCACCCTGTGTGGATTGTACCATCTTTCTGGCTCTTAAACACAATGTTTGCACAGCTTTATAGAACCTAGCTGGGGTTTTTTGGAGCTGATTTTCTGCTCTGATTATGCAAAGAGATAACAGGTGCTATGCTCCATTTCAGGTGAATGCTGGGCAATTAAGATTGCTGGAGGCACAACCATCATCATGGTTTGATCAGAGACTCATGCAGATATATGTAGGTTTGGCACAGCAGTCCTGTCTGCACCGCAAGGCAGATTTAACTGTGAATATGTGCATTTTCAGAGTGCCCATGTGACCTGACCTGTAACAGACAAGGTTTGTCCCTTGCATTTCAGGAAACCTGCTGCAGTGTTATAAATATGCTGTGGGAATCGAGAAACAGTCACAAAATTCATGAGAGCCAAGGAGACTTCATGGCTGTTTGCTCATCTAAATGAGAGACTAACAATAAATTGATAGGAAAAAAAGGAAAAAACACATATTTGGTTATTAAAAGCTGATTCAACTGGAAATGCAGAGACCAAACAGAGATTAGGCTACATGCGTATTTGTGGATACCAGCCCTGAACTGGTTGGGGTTGTACCAGTGTCAGAAAGGAGCAGACAGAAATTGCTGAAAATAAAAGCAAAATGTGAGGAGGTAACTAGTAAAATGATTTGTTATTGACCCTTGTGGATTTTTGTGCAGCATACCAGTTGAGTGTCTGTCCCTGGAGCAGTGCACCCTGAATGGGGATGCTGGGCTGTTGTGGTTTAACCTCAGCCAGCAACTAAGCACCACGCAGCCGCTCGCTCACTCCCCCCCAGTGGGATGGG